GAAAGACCAGAGTAAGCGAGCAAGAGCAGAGGAGGGGATGAAGGCAATAGCGATAGACCAGAGCAAGCGAGCGAGAGGGGGGATAAAGGCGACAGACCAGAGTAAGCGAGCGAGAGCAACAGACCAGAGCAAGCGATCAAGAGCAGAGGAGGGCATGAAGGCAATAGCGACAGACCAGAGCAAGCGAGCGAGAGGGGGGATAAAGGCGACAGACCAGAGCAAGCGAGCGAGAGGGGGGATAAAGGCGACAGACCAGAGCAAACGAGCGAGAGGGGGGATAAAGGCGACAGACCAGAGCAAACGAGCGAGAGGGGGGATAAAGGCGACAGACCAGAGCAAACGAGCGAGAGCAGAGGAGGGGATGAAGGTAATAGCGACAGACCAGAGCAAGCGAGCAAGAGCGACAGACCAGAGCGAGGGGATAAAGGCAACAGACCAGAGCAAACGAGCGAGAGCGGAGGAGGGGATGAAGGCAATAGCGACAGACCAGAGCAAGCGAGCGAAAGCGACAGACAAGAGCGAGAGGGGATAAAGGCGACAGACCAGAGCAAGCGAGCGAGAGCAGGGGGGGGGGGGAAGGGAGGCAAGAGCGAAAGATCTGAGGGGACAGGAGAGAAAGACGATGTAGGCAGGCAGAACTGGGAGAAAGATGGAAGAAGACCGCGGGGAGCAATAGTGGTTCAAGGAGAGGAAAGAGGTAGCAGACATCACCGAACCACCTTAACAAAACAGAACAAATCACGCACACACACACACCCCCCCTTCCCCGGCCCCGGTCGCAGACCCCCCGGCGGACCCCCGGCAAGCACGCACTGAACTGACCGCTCGTCGTATCGGGAGGTGTCGTCTCTCCCGGAGTGCTTGATGTTGACGTCCGCTCCCCCTCGCCTCGTGCCGCCCAGACCCCCTCCTGGGGGAAAAAAAAAACCACACGGAACCGCGCGGTTTTCAGCTCCGGGCCCCGATCGCACGCGGAGCGGAGCGAACGGAGGCCCAGGGAAAACAGCAGGGGGGGTGGGGGGGGGCGTGGTGAGAGAGACGTACACAGAGGAGCTGGGGAATAAAGAAAGAAAAAACGAGACGGGCGGGCGAGAGGTCGGCGCGCAGTTCCTCACCTAGCCTGCGGGGGCGCCACCCTTTCACCGTGCGGCCTCTCTCCACGTCCACCAGCACACGCCGGCCGTCGATCTTCTTCCCGTCCGCGTGCTTGTAGGCCGCTGCTCGAGGAACGGAGGAGGAGGAGGAGGAGGAGGAGAGGGAAAAGGGCGCGTGGGGGGGAGGGGGGGGAGGAGGAGAGGGGAAA